ACCATTTACCTGGGAAAATCACACCATCAGCAGCACCTACTGTTTTACAATACTTCAATATAAAAATGTATTTATTAAATCATTACATAGAAAATTTTACAATTCAAATACTGGACATAATATTGTTTCTGTATATTTTCAAATCCTGGAAAATAAAAGTTTTTTATCTGGTCCGCAGTATATTAATGAAATCAGAAAACATGGAGGAAAAAATGTGTGCTGATATTCAAAATATTCACAGTTTTCTCTTTCTTCCAAACCCCCCAGACAGTTGGAAATAATTTTATTAGGACTGAATTGCTGAATGACTTCACAGCACTATTACTGATACTGATGTACTGTTGAATGGTGCCAGCACCACATACAGTAGAACTACACTAAGCCCTGAGGGCAAAACATGTCGCTTACTGCACAGCTTAAAGCAAGACTTTGTCACACAGTTCTCAAGTGTGTTTTAACACTGTTTATACTTGAAATTATTACATTTATTTAGCTGGTGGTTAGTTTGGTGTCATATAAAAAGGCAAAGAGAGAGGAGAATGTGAACGTCAGTATGGTGCAACATACAGTATGACTATTTCCTGGGGTCAGTACATACCAGTGTGATCTTGGCCTGTATTGAGCCTCCTAAATATGCTAGTATATACACTGATTCAATCATTTTGGAACAGTGCAGTACATCACTGTAGTCGGTAATCAGCACTCAGATGGTCTGTCTGATGCTGAGCAGATCACATGGGGCAACCAATGACCTTATTTGGCAGGGTGGTAGCCACCTCAATAAAGTTAAAGCTTGACAGAGCACTGTCATAAAAAGAAAGAGCTCACCTTCATCACCACACGGTAAGACTATAAAGTGCTGATGCGTGGGAGGGGACTCTTCTCTCTGTACAGTAAATCACTGTGCTGTGGACAGTTTTACAATGGAGTCATTCAACCAGCTCTTGGACAAAACATCACCTTTGTTTGTCCTACATATTTTATAATATGTGGTCTTTCTGGCATCCCAATTATCAAGTATTATTATGTCTTCCTCTTTGTACTTTATATTGTTTCAGTGCTGGAAAACACATTTGTGATGGTAATAATATGCTTGGACCCTAATCTGAGAACTCCAAAATATATTGTAGTTTTTACCCCATCATTTACAGACCTGTTTGGTAGCTCTGCTTTAGTGCCGAAGGTTCTTGACATTTTCCTGTTTGACCATCACTACATCTCCTACAACGACTGCTTGACATTCATGCTTTTCAGCTACATGTGTCATTCAATGCAACCATTTACCTGGTTGCACTCTCCTATGACAGACTGATAGCCATCATCTTCCCACTGCACTATCATGTGAAAGTGACCCACAGGTTTATGTTTTCTTTAAGAGCAAGAGCTAACATTAAAACAATTTTAAAGAAAGCACAGTACATTAACTACTACAGCCTGCAATAATATTGTACTTTCTGTCTGTACAACAAAAACTACAACAAATGCAACAACAAAGGTGCATTCAAAAATAAGTTTAACCTAAGTAAAAACTGGTGGACTCCCCTCATTGACACAAGGCCGATGATTATGAAACTACTGCAAAGCAAAATACAGTAAATGACAAAATACAACATAACCACAATTTTAATATAAAGCATTTTCTAAGATGCTCATAGTAAAATAATTATAAAACATATTTATACTATTTTAATACTTTCTGATGTGTCAGTTAGTCATATAGAGCTCACTTTTTGGAAAAGGTTTTGCTGCTAAGTCTAACGTTTTTGAAAAGTTTCCTGATAAAGTTCAGCACTTCTGTCTTTAAAGAGTAAATAATAGGATTGAGCAAAGGAGATATGGTGGGTGTAGAAATTGAGTCAATGATCCTGGCATAAGGGTAAATGTGGGAGGTGAGAGCAGCTATGTTGACACTCAAGAGTGGTAAGAAGAAAACAGCCACAAGCATCAGATGAGAAGTACAAGTTTTCAAAGCTTTGAGTCGTTCCTGTCCTGATGCAATCCTGCTCAGTGCTATGGCAATGCAAATATATGTCAGTGCTATCAATATAGGAGGAAGACAGAAGATTACAATAAAGACAACATATACCATTACATCATTTAACGATGTGTCATTACAGGCCAGATTATATACTGGTCCATAATCACAGTAAAAGTTCGGTATCACAAAAGATCCACAGAAGGAGAGGCAATCAATTAGCCCAACCATGCAGGTTATTAGACTCAATTTAAAAAACCATGTAAACAGCAGCATTACAGCAATACTTGGTTTAGTCACAATACTGTGGTACCTTAAAGGGAAGCAAATTGCTATAAATCTGTCATATGCCATAATCAAGTGTCCATGACTCCATACTTACAAAGAACAAAACAAAGAACATATGACTTAAACAAGCCTCATAGACAATGTATCTGTTGTCAAACAAAAATGTGACCACAACTTTTGGGGTGAAAGCAGTGCTCCCACACAAATCTGTCAAAGCCAGGTTGAACACAATTATGTATTTCGGAGTATGAAGAGTCTTGTCCAGGTAAATCACTGAGAGGAGGAGGTCATTCCCAAGAACAGTCATAATATAGACAAAACACAGGAAAACACATAAATACTGCACATGAGGGATGTCAGTAAACCCACCAAGATAGAATCTTGAAGGACAAACAAATGCCTCATTAGATATATTAGCAACTTTCTCTTCTGGGTTCATTATATCCCTGGATGTAAACAGAGAAAACAACACAACATATGATAAAGGATGACACAGTTGACTGGTGGTGACCGTTGTAACCAAAGTCACGTCAGACAATATCAACTGTGCAGCTCCCTAAAGTGAGTTGCACTGTCATAGACCTGCTGTTTGTTTTCCCTTTCAAAGTGAGACAGTAGAAATACAGGCAGGTGTGTCACAGTAGGAAGTTATGTTTTTTCTTGTGTAACTGTCTCAGATTATGTCATTGATGTGATTGTCAGGTTTGCTCAGGGGCTCTGCCTCCCTCACCTTTCCTACTG